TGAAAGTTAAAAGAACCATTATATAAATTATGGAAAAGAAAACAACTTCACTTATTGTTTAATTTATTATAACCTATTTCTACAAGAGTAACTGAAATTTCTCATCGAATATCTCATCTTTAATTCAACTTTTAAATGGTTAAAATAATTTGAAAAATTGTTAGAAGTATTAATAACAGAACATTCATTAATACTGACTCAAAATCTTTTTCAGTTTTGTACTGCTACATGAATAACATATAAATAGCTAATTTAATTTCCTAAAATGTTGGTACATTTCTTGAGGAGACATTTTATTTTTTCTTTAAACAATCTCTTTGAATTTACCAGTTAAGTGGTGTCCATTCAAAATAAATGATGATCTTTTCTTACAATTCTTATTCTTCCTGTAAATCACTGAATAAAAATATCAGATGAAAATTTGGCACAAATAATAAACTTCAATACTTTAGTCTGGATCAGTTTCTTTTAATAAAAAAATCACGTATTTTCTGCTTTTAAAATAAAAAATAATATTGAAATATGCAAGAAAAAATTTAAATTGTGTCAGCAGTATAATACTCAACTGGATATTCATTGTATTTATGAAGAATTAGCTTTCCTAGAGAAAAAATATGAAACTAATGAGATTAAGAAATGAATGAGGATAACAAATATCACTTGTTTATTCAGTGTTATGTTAGAACTGCAATAAAAATGATATATAGAACAGACAAAAGTGTACATTCATGCAATTCATTCAAAGATAACAAATAGTTAAATTGCAGGCATTATGAATGTCCATGGTATTAATTATGAGTATACAGAGCTTCCTGTTTGATTGAATTAGACCAAGGAACTAGCACATCATTAACAAATAATGTTACATTAAAATATAAAATATATTATATACACTGGGCTTTTTAAGAAGTTGATGTAGAGTAACAGGTGTGAGAGGATCACAAACATTTATAATATATAAGATTGGCAAAAAAATTTAAAGTTGTAGATTTTAATGATGTCCAGATTAATTCTTAGTTTTTATATCTGTTATAAAATAAAATAAGACATATCTCAGCTGATTTACAGGGAAATAAACTAACATACTCAAGAGCGAGAGCTGGATGTGAACAGGACAAGGCCCCGTCACAAAATGACCATTATCTTCGTTTACGCATGTTCCCGACGCATGAGTTCCGGACGAAAAATAAAATAAAATATTTTAACATGTTTCTATTTTTCAACCAATAAAAATGTTTCCCTCCTAATTATACTCGTGTTGTTTTTCGAGCCTGTTAAGCCATAAAAAAACGCCATAAAAGGGGTCACACGGAAGTAAAACGGCAGTCAACAGGAGGCTCGGACATCCCACGTTAAAAAGGCCTTGTGCCACATGATCCCCTCGTTGTGGTGGGGGGACTGAATATCATCAACAGGAGGCCAGGGAAGAGACCTGTCACGGTCAGGTATAGCGGTCAGCAGCAGCCAACAGCAGTAGCTCCATGCAACCAGCGAGAACTACTATGAGAGATCAACCCAGATCTTCAGCCGGCCTATGAACTATACCACAAGTTAGCTGTCCCAAAACCACACTTTCCTATTGAAATAAATCACATAAATCTATTTCTACTGTTGTCATATTTCTTTCTTGCAACCATATGCTTGTCTATAACATATCCAGCATGATGCATAATTTCCCAAGATAACTTAAATAAAATAGATTATATTTTGGTAAGCCTTAATTTTGATAACTAGTTTAAATTTTATTTGAAATTTAACATTTGCAATAATTTGATTTAAAATAATTTATATTTAATAAAATTCATAACTTCTAAATCAGGGCTATCATGAGATTTCAGTTAATGTGTATTTCATGATAAGTACTGAAAAGAGATTTTAATTAATATATATATTATAATAGGTGCTGATAATAAATTTCATTTAATCTGTATTTCATGGTTGGTACTAAAAGGAGATTTCAGTTAATGAAAATTCCTTTATAAATTTATAAGTAAACATGATCTGATTGATAAATTCTAAAATGTGCATCCAAAGAAGGTAGAATGGACTTGAAAACATAGATGAAACTTGAGTTTGATACAGTGTTTCAGCTAAATTAGTCCTACTTAGGAAGGTCAACTCTTAGGTTGTCTAAGATTTTACAGTGTTCTTTATTTGGACCATAGTCTAAGCCAGATTCAAATAAACTTAGATAAGGCTAAATCTACAATAGCTGGATACTGGAAATTCAACACATCCTTGTTTGATGTGAAAATTTTTCAAAAGCAATTAACACTAAACCTCAATAAATTGAAAAAAGTAGGTATTTGCTGGTGATTATCATTGCTGATTAGATTAGTGGTGTCAATGTCAATGAAATCTAAAGTAAACAAGTGTGTTAAATTAGAAGATGGAGCTAAATTAGCTGTAGTTAAGGCATAGCTGGTCTCCTGGCTTAATAAAAATGATCAAGTTAGAACCAGGTTATAAAGAATGTCGAAGTAATGAACATGTAAATAGAATCTTGTGCAGAACTCCAAAGCCCTATAGATCATCATCTTTGCTTGTGTTACCTTGCAGAGATAGTACTAACTGGGCTTAGACCAAAGTGAGTGAATATGAAATTCATTCTCTTACTTTCTCCTTTTAGCTTACTTTCTTGATTTTGACTTGAATAAAATATATGCATGCTAATGGGTAATAAATATTCTAATAAAATATTAAAGGTTTTGGTCATCTTGTGATGTAGTAACACTCATATGAATGCACCGTCTGTGTCTGAGCTTTAGACGGTGACATATGCTGAAATAAGTTTCAGTGTGTTTGAAAGAGTCCAGTGCAAGCAAGTGTCATGCCATGTAGACACACATACTATTTTTCAATTAATGCCACTTAAGGAGGGTAAGACTTTGGACTTTTAATTGATTGGAGGTCAAGAATTGTTGTGGATGTGATGTGTCAGTAATGCTTTGATGTTGCCAAGAGTGGTCAAATGAACATTCCTATGCCCATAAACAAACATCATCTTTCAGGTCATTATTATGGTAAACTAACATTTTGAATTATTCTTAATACCATTCCCATTTACCAGAATATATGAAAATTATTAGGAAATATTTTTAAATATAAAGTTTGTTGCAAGCATAAAATTTGGCTTTTCTAGTCATTTGTTTTATATTTTTTTGATGTTGGAAGAAAGAAAACCTCAAAAAGTTGGCATTTGTCTTGTAGTTGTTTTGCATAGGATTAATCTAGGGTCTGTCCCTATAACATCAAAATATGAAGGAAAATACAGGAAATACTCAAATGTATAAATTTCAAAAGTTGATGATACAATTATAATTGGCTCAGTTTACTAACTATTCACACTTAGAGAATAGGAAATAGATTTGTAACGGTTTTATTAGGATAATATTAATAATTAATAATTATTGTGGTCACATTAATTTTTTTTTCAAACAGAAAGTAGTACATTGTTTTGTATGTAACACATACTCACTCATCTTCTGGCTCCTTCCCATCTGCAGACTTGTGGACATAATGGGTTCACTCCCTTCCTGTGAGTGACATACTTATTTGTTAACACACATCAATCATTTATTCCACTGGTTTGAAGCTCTTCCCATGTAAGACCGTATGAAAGAAACTACTGCAAAAATGTTTATGTTCAAGATGGTTATCCCATTTTGGCATTCCAGATGTCATCATTACAAACAGGACTCAACAATTTGAGTCCAATCTATTCAGCCAAGTGATGAAACTTTTGTGGAGCAATAGAATTAGGACCATGGCATATCTACAGGCCAGTAGTTTTGTTGAAAGGTTTCAATGAACATTAAAATCAAACATAAGAACTTTGAAAGTCTAATCAACATGATTGGAATATCTCCCTTTATTTCTACTGACACTCTGTACAGTAGTGAAAGATGAAATTCAATGTTCATTCTATGAATTGGTGTATGGCACCACACTTAGACTCCCAGGACAGTTTTACTTTCAGCCTTTACAAAAAGTATTGAACATCACCTTCTTTATTTACACTATTTATATTTGGACAATTGTCCAAATTTTGTTGTTTTCACAAAAAACAGCTGTTGTTCCCTCTGGCTTTCATCAAGTGTATATTGATCTGGGTAACTTACAGAGAATTCTGAACTAAATCCTTTATTTAATCTATGTGAATAGACTGTTCTTGTTCCACTGGCCATGTCTAGGACTATCATTTAGTTCTTTTTCTTTTAGTACTGCTCAGTTATTGTTTGCCTGTTTCCACAGAGTCCAAGTACACACTGCCTGGCCCAGGGACTGAACTCACAAATACTATATCACCAAATTCACATTGTAATAACAAAAATGAAGATGAGGACAATAGTCTGAATATAAATAGTGTAAATAATGATAACAAATCATTTCCTTTGTTGACCAGCTTATAGACAGATTAGCAAACATCCCTTACAATCCACCTACATAGGGTAGAAACCCCACATATATACCTACACTTCTGCAAGCATTCACACATATTTTTGTGCATAACTCAAACAAATCACATGCATTGTCGCCAGCTAACAAATCCTGAAGAGACATTGTAAATTTTTTATGGTGCACGTTAACTACACAGTCCAGAATATTTGTTTAGACAGGCTCTTTGAATGCTACATAGGTGAATGTAGACACTTAAGTCACCCACTCCCATCTCCACCAGCACCAGATTTATCAAATGATGTCCAGGTCTAGGCGTCATGTTAGATATCCCAGTCATTTCTTAACTTGCTTTCTCTCTTTGCAGGATGTTATTTTTTTATAGGGACTGTTGCATGATCATAATATATAGGGACTGTTGCATGATCATAATATATAGGGACTGTTGCATGATCATAATATAGTAAGAATTTTTCTCTGCTAGTGAATGGAGGTTATTAAAACATTCTAGTAATCATTAATGTATATTCATTACATGCATGTTCCTTTTTTACATTGCAGTTTTATAAACTATTATTCCATTTCATCATATCACTAGAGGCTTATGGCCACATCACCTTGAAACACCAGTTCCCATACAATTACCAAAGTTAAGCAATGTCAAGCATAGTTAGTACCTAGATGAGTGACCGCTTGGGAATAACAAGTGTTGTAAGCTAGGATGTGCAGGTGGTGTAATGGATTTCCATTGTGTTCATTATATTTACTTATGCACAATTACTCCTGGGAAAAGTATCTCTTCTACTCCAAGCTATGGGTTAATTAGTAAGACTTGTATCACTAAATTACTATCTCAAAAAAAATTCTTACATTCTAAAATTATTTTCTAGCTTTAAATAACCTGTAAAGAGTTGATAATCCATAGAAAAGGAATGAATGAATGAATCAATCAATCAATCATATCACTAGAAGCAAAATAAAAGTAAGGGAGCCAATTCCCTTTTGCATCTCTACAAGTTGTTGGGATTCAGAATTTGTAGAATTTGATCTGATTTGTTTTTATGGCTTATCAACCCTTTGTGGGTTATTTAAAGATGAAACATATTTTAGATTATAAGAATAAAACTTTTTTGGAGAAGTTAAGATTATATTAACATTTTTTTGAGATAACAATGATTTTTCTAGATACAAGTGCTACTATTTAACCCATAACTGGGAGGAGAAGAGATGGCTTGATACCTTTCTCAAGTGTATCTCTTTGTAAGTGATTGTAACAAACTTGACTGCAATTTGAACTCAGCTCTGTGATCTCTCATTCTGAGTCGCTATACATTGAACTACCCACACATCCACTTTTTTGTAGGATGAATTTACCAAGGTCACATGGTGAGTGACATCAGCCCAAGGGTTATGACAGCCAGTGGGGGATAATAGGTAGTTGATGTGTAGACTGCAAAAAAAATAGATGAGATAGCCTGTGGCAATAAGAATAATGAAATATGTGTGGTCCAATCAAGGAACATAAACAACATCACCCTGCTGACCATGTTCTTCTGGGAAAATTACAACTAAAACCCTGTCTGATTTTCTACTTTTTACACTGTATTATTCATATATGCTATAGTTTCTCAGTATGGAACTAATAATGACAAGTTATTTGTGCATAATTTCTTGTATGACATTTGTACCTAAAATCTTTTCAAGCACAATGTGTATTTGGCATTCAATTTTTTTAGCTATTCTGCACCTTCCTTTTGTTGGGTTAGATGTATTAATGCCTAATGTGGGCCTTGGAGAGTGGCGGCAACCAAGATAATTATTTTCTCTTTTCAGTTTTTAATTACTTTCATTTTACCTGAAGATGATAGATAAAATGCTGGCTGAAGCAAATACTAAAAATAGAACATTTACATAAATAAAAAAGTAATGTCACTCTCAATGTTACTAAAAAGTAAACATACCCAACTTAAAGAACAAGATGTTTATGTAACCTATGATATAACAAGTAAGATTTACTAAATAAATATGCCAAAGATTTCATTAATTATAAGATTACATATACCATGTCTTCCATTATTTCTTATTACAGGCCTTTCTATATAATGTAGAAGAGAAGTAGAATAGCCCTCATCAGATGCAAAATCTTCTATGGCACCTTTAGTATGCGAACAAAGATAGCAAATGTGATATCAATTAAAGAATGAACCTACTAATAGAAAACAGTTTTCCTTCTTCCCCACCCAAGGCCAATGTAAAAAGACTGAGAGAAGCTCTGCTGATAGCATACAGATTTAGGATGAGAATGATCTTGAACAAAAAATCAGTATTTCTAAAACATAAACAATGGCCTGGAATTGGAATGGTGCATCCCCTAACTCCTTCATAAATATCCAGGATATGGAATTAAAAAATATTAAGCATTAGCAGGCATCACCTGCTTGCTATTGCTTCGCAAAGTAAGATATATTCACTAATTGAAATCTTTGAAACAAAAAATTTAAATGAACATTTCATTCATAAATTGGCTTTTTATAGTTAAGGAAAGTTATACAAATAGATGCCAACTTGTTGAAGGCCAAGTAAAATGCAAATTTCAAACACTTTTCTGCACTATATAAGATGATAAACAGAACTATTTTTAATATGAAAATCGAATAAAAGAACAGTAATGAAGGACAGTTAATTAACTAAACTTTTTAAAATCAGTGTGCAAATTAATTAAACCTGAAGAGTGATAATATATAATTGTGCAAAACTTGGTGGAAAGCACACACAGGAAATGAAAGTGGAGGAAGGTCGTACCAATCCAAAAGGTTCACTAGGCAAAACAAATCCACACTTCTCGTCTCAATCTCCAATACGCCACTCACCATTCGAAATGAAAAACGAACCCCTGTCAAATGAGTGTACCATGTTTTTATGCAACTGATCCAGCCAGCACTCAGCCAGCGAGCACCCAGAACCAGCCAATAAAAATGGCAACAAGCAACACTACCACTTCCATCAGTATGAAGTGCTTTTTGATTCACTGTCTGTCTGAAACTTGTCGATTCACCGTCTCCACACTCACTTGCAAAACATACATGCGACTCCGGCCCTTTTGGGTGATTGAGGTAAGTCACCACTATAATAATGCAGACATTGAGCTTTTAGCATGTAAATTACTCTCTCTCAAGTAGTTTGTAACACCCTATTTATCATCTCTCAGTTGCATCTCTGTCTTCAGGCAGAATGCGCTCAGTGGCAGCTTTGTCAAAGGACAGAGTCACAACAGAAGAAAATTATACTGAGAGGTGCCCAGCCCTGGGAAACAGCTGCCTTAGGTCGCACCTTCTCATTGCACCAGAGAGAAGGATTGGTGCTCACATCGAGGCCAGTGCAATCAACAATTGTGGGAGCTGTGGGCAATTTTTGTTCCTTGCCTGGTGTACTCGCTCAGGCACCCTGCATTAAACCGACCTTGTTTTACAACCTGACCTCTTTGGGGGATGAGTAAATACAAATTGCTTTCAAGAAGTTTGTAACATTTTTATTTATCATCTCTCAGTTGCTTCTCTGTCTTCAGGCAGAGTGCACTCAGTGGCAGCTTCATCAAAGGACAGAGTCTCAGCAGAGGAAAATTATATTGAGAGGTGCCCAGCCCTGGGGAGCAGCTGCCTGAGATCCTGCCCTCTCATTTCACTAGAGAGAGGGATCGGTGCTCATACCAAGGCCAGCACAACTGACGGTTGCAAGAGCTCAGGCAATTTTTGTTCTTAGCCCAGGCGTACGCACTCGGATTCCCACCTTAAAAACTGACCTTGTGTCGATCTTGTCTTAGTGAGGAGACAGAGTAAATACCATGTGTAAATTACTATAAAGTAGTGTGTAACATGTTTATTATCATCTCTCAGTTGCATCTCTCTCTTCGGGCAGAGTGTGCTCTGGAATCATAACAGAAAAATTATACTGAGAGATGCCCAGCCCTGGGGAACAGCTGCCTGAGGCCATGCCCTGTCATTGCACCAGAGAGAGGGATTGGTGCTCACACAGAGGCCAGTGCAACCAATACTTGCAGGGGCTCAAGCAATTTTTGTTTCTAGTCAGGGTGTATGCACTCACCTCCCCATATTAAACTGACATTTTTCACAACCTGACCTCAGTGGGAGTTGATTATTTACAAAACAAATTACTATAAAGTAGTTTGTAACACATTTATTTATGATCTCTCAGTTGCATCTCTGTCTTTGGGGAAGCTCTGTTGAAGTACAGTATCACAACTGTGGAAAATTATACAAGAAGTGCCAGTGCTGGGGAATGGCTGAGGTGACACCCTCTCATCATAGTAGAGAGAGGGATCGATGCATGCACCAAGGCCAGCGCAACCGAAAATAAGGATCTATGTACATCAAATCGTGTTAAAATTAAGTGACAGCAGAAGAATTATCATTGAACTTTCAAAAGGTAAGGTTAAACATTAATTTAATACTTAAATGCAGTGATCAATTTTGAGTTCTTCTGTAGTTTATTGATATCTATTGCATCTTACTCTCCTTAGCTATTGAGATGATGGCCAAACCAACATTCCTCCACAGGTGCAAGCTTAAATGCTGCCCAATAGGTGGCTTTTGAGCTAGTTTATAATAAAACGTACACTGCAATTTTGGATACAAAAGGAAAATAAGTGTCACTCTCCTTGAACCATGAAAACAACGATAATGGCTAGTATAATATATTAATATATTAATATATATTTTTAACCTCATATAATCTGGCAACCCTGAATCTGAGTTCAATGAAAACTGTTCCCTACACCTAAAATTTCTATTTTGAATGAGCTGTGGATGATTGAAATTGGAACAGTGAAAGTGGAGTTGTTGCTTGGACACACATGCACAAACACACACACATACACTACACTTTATATATAAGATTTCAAATACCTCAGTGTATGGATATGTTATAACAATTTTGATATAGGAGATAAAGAAACTAAACATAGAATAGATTGTTCTAGGGGTAGCAGAAATTCTATTTAGCATAAGAAGAAAGGGAATGATAAAGGAAGAAGAGATAACTGACTGAGTTTAGTAGTGAAAGTTGGAGGCACATGTTAGAACAATCCAGATACTCAAGAGACACTTGCCCAAAAATGCAAGCTACTGCAAAAAAAAAAAAAATTATCTAAAAACTCAAGTCATGTTTTTAAATAACCTCATCAGATCAAGACTTTCATATGGAAGCCATTACATTACCAGATATCAGAAACCACATCAACTGAAGACTTTCAACAACAGCAACAACTAAAATGGATAGCATGAAAATGGGTTCCATTTCTCTATTAATAGGAATGAAATAAACTTAATATCTAACATGCTCAAAAACTAAGCATAAAATATAACTAATAGTTAACCCTAGCTTTCACCCTCAACATAAATTTTAGCTGTAAGTCTAGTTCTAACTAATAGTTAACCCTAAAAAATCAGAACTAATAGATGACATATTTTTTACTTATATTTTTTAATTATTTATTGCATTTTTTATTTCATACCAGTGTCTAGCTCTGGTCAGAACTAAGAAAATTCCTGTTTGTCTTTGTAAAATAAGGAAACTGATCCTTTGGTGTAAGGGCTAGTAAACTTATTTATTACTTATCTTTTAATTCATTCCTTACAACCAATTATTCTTATACAATTCAGAAATACGTTTCATTATTAAATAGCCTAGAAATGGTTGG